GTGTGTGTGTGTGTGCTTAGTGCTCTCTCATCCTAATGCAGGATTCCAGTCTTACTGGTGAAAGCAGCATTATAGCCTGACTCTGCCTGAACTGTTTAAATAAATCAGGCTGCAGATTAAGAAATGAGCATGCCAGCCTTGTAACTAGTGTCTTGCTATTGTTTTTATATGTGGAATGTATTTTTTAACCTCTTAAACTGATAACCTTGCTGATTAGTTGTGGACACTCTCACATATGCCTTCTCATAAAGCCTACCCTGTAAAAAATCCTCTAACATACACTGACATTCTGAGCTTTTGCATGTGTCAGACTTGTGACCGCATCAAGCAGTCGGCAAGCGGCACCAAGAGACGCGTGTTCATCATCGAGACCATGGGGGGCTACTGCGGCTACCTGGCCAGCGTGGGGGGTCTGGCTGCAGGAGCTGATGCTGCGTATATTTATGAGGAGCCATTCGACATCAAAGACTTGCAGGTACCTTCATTCCTTAAGTCTCCATAAAGTCCCTCACGCATCACCTCTCTTCATCCACAAGAGGGCACTCACTCTTATTTCTGTGATGGCTTCCACTCTACCATGCCATCTGCTGGTCAACAATCACATTTCCTTTTTCCCCCCACAGGCCAATGTGGAGCATTTGACAGAGAAAATGAAGACCAGCATTCAAAGAGGACTGGTCCTCAGGTAATGTAATGACTGTAAAAGGAAAACTAAGATATAACATAACTGGTGTTCTGCTGCTGGATCACCTTTAATCCTGTATTTATAGCCCTCAGTATTTGATTTTAAGCTGCTTGTGTAGTAAACAGATTCAGTGTTGATGTCAGCTCTTGGACATGTTGCACTGCTGCTCTAATGTCACAATAACATGGACTTAGGGAGGAAAGAGGCTGATGTTTAACTGCTTTTATTTCACTCCATGTGTTTGTGTGTAGGAATGAGAACTGTAATGAGAACTACACCACAGACTTTATCTACCAGCTGTACTCTGAAGAAGGCAAAGGAGTGTTTGACTCCAGGAAGAATGTGCTGGGACACATGCAGCAGGTAGACACACTGGTTATAATACTTCATACTGAATACATATGAGTATTCCCTTCTCTAGCAGTGCAAAGAGTTACTTTTCAAAGGGGCTAAGAAAGATTTAATAACATTTTTGTCGTTTGTATCATAAATATGCATATCGCTATTATTTGTTGTTATGTTTTGGCTTTGTGTGTCTGGAGATTAGCACAGACAAAACTGGATCAAACAGAACTTTGATGATCCCCAAGTGGAAAATGGTGTTTGCCTGTAGCAAGTAATGTGATATATAAAAAACTAAAGATTAAAATCTAGCACAACAACCTAACAAATACATAATCTACGTTTGGTGGGCGTTCTGGTGCCTCTGTGTATAAATCTGGCCTCAGTCTTATAATGCCAATTTCCCACCCAGACTAAAAGCCTAGACAGACTTGGAAGGGCATCTCCAAACTGTTTATTTAACAATACACGTTCAAACACCTCCGACCAAATATAACCAATGTTCTTTTTGAGGTTCTAAGTCAAAGTCCAACTCAAAATACATTCTTCTTAAAACAGCTGTATAATACACTTGAAAGCAAAAAACAAGTCCAATGTCACTGCACCAAAAATATATAATCCAAGGGAAACACAAATTTGCAAAAGAAGGAAATTATCCAAAAAACAAGTGACTCACCGGCCGCTGAAAAGGGAAACAAATGTATACTAAAGCTGGGCTTTTGCTGCTCCATCCCCCCTGAGGTCACACCACCACTTGGAGCAAGCAGTGAAAACAACCCAAATGTACCAAATTCCCTCCAGCAAGCTGCCAGGCTTCCTCTTTTCCTCTTTTCTTAAACACACAATTCCTTCTCCCTTTGCTCCCCAGGGCCCCGCCCCCTTTCCTCACCTCCCCTACAGGGAGTTGACAGGTTAAAGCAGTATGATATACAAAACAGCATTTTAAAGGAACATCATTAAAAAAGGTTACAGACATGTCCATGCTGATTTTCAGTGCGAGCAGTACGGACATAATGCACCAGAAGACCTACAGTCTGAAACTGAAAAATCTAGCAAACAATTGTGATCTTGATGTTTGCTGGAAAAAAATCTGTCAAAATGATTTTATTTTATTTTTAAAGGGAGGAGCACCGTCTCCATTCGACCGTAACTTTGGAACCAAGATCTCTGCCAAGGCGATGCAGTGGGTCACCAAAAAGTTGACGGAGACATTCAGACACGGTAAGGGTTTACATTCCATGTTTGCATTAGTGAGAGAACCTGTGGTAGATGACCCTTCCTCCCTACAGACGAGAGGTGTGACCGTTGGGAAGGAGACCTTTAGCAAGACCTGTCATGGAGTCACTGTCTGTATTTTTGTTCTCTCAAAGGGAATGATGTATTATTACCATAAGCATAATGTACTTACAAACGGAAACACTAACTACTAACCGTGAGTAATGTGTGTTCTGATAAGCACTCTGCATGTGTATAAAGGCTACAATTAAAGTCAAAACTTCTCTTTGTTTTTTATGTCTATTTCCCATTCACATGGATGACATAAGATGAAGGTAAATCAGTTTTTGCTGGCTCCATGACCATCTCCATCTATATATAGCTCCATGTCCCTGTCTGTCTTTCCCATTATTCTGCCACAGTATACTGTAGATCCACATACTGTAGGCACTTGTGGGGTAAAGCTAGGACTCGTTAGCATTGCTACCAGTCTGTGTCTATGATGTCACACATTTAGCACTAGCCACCATGCTACACTGTTTCCAGTCATTTGAAACTGTATAACTGGAAACTTATAGCTATAAGGGTATCGGGCACATTTGTCCTGCTTTCCCCCACATTGTCTTCTCTTTCTTTGATGCTTTATATTGCCTCAGTTGCTTTTGTGTTTAGATTAGTCCTCCTTTACTAGCAATTACTGTAATTTTCGGACTATAAGCCGCGCCTTTTTTCCCATTTTTCGACGCTGCGGCTTATATAACGGTGCGGCTAATCTATGGATTTTTACAGCTAACGGCCACTAGGGGACCTCCTAAATCTATGGATTTTACAGGTTACAGTCCACCACCTTTAACTCTATGGGCTCTATGGCCGCTCCGCGCCCCCCACCTTTAAGCGGCGGGCTCCAGCAGGAAAAGCTGGAGGCCGGAAAAGAGTGAGACAGGTAACGCGCAAAAGTGGAACCGAGAGTGGTACGAGAGACAGAACGAGAGCAAGACAGACAGACATTACGAGAGCGAGACAGTTTGTCCCCGTACCACTGGTTGAAAACCACTGCTGTAGATCACTGCCGGTACGTGCGCTGGGAGCGCACCGTTTAAGTTTGAAAGTTGAAAAGTTTGTGTGTCTGAAACACTATGTGATACAGTACAGTTTACACAGCACAGTAATGTTCTCTAGCTACTATTGCACTAAATGCTAACACTTGAATACGTTATGCAAATATGCAACTTGTTTGTTGAAATGTTAATAAATGGGAGCTTCCTCAAACAGCCATCTCTTTCCCGACAATCCCCTCTGTGCACGAACCCTTACATATGGTAATTAAACATTAAAACACCTGCGGCTTATAGTCCAGTGCGGCTTATATATGTACACATCATTCAATTGAGCTGCTGCGGCTTATATTCAGGTGCGCCTTATAGTCCGAAAATTACGGTAGGTAGAAGAAAAGTCACCACCAGCGTTCCGTGCTTGTGTACGTTTGCAACCAGCATCCTGTGTTCACACCTCTGACTGCTATGGATTTTCCCTGCAGGCCGAGTGTTTGCTAACACCGAGGACTCCTGCTGTCTGCTGGGGATGCGGCGCAGGGCTCTGGTCTTCCAGCCCGTCGTACAACTCAAAGACGAGACAGACTTTGTGTACGTATCGCAGAGCTTGAACTTAGAGACACTTTTTGGCAATTTCACATTAATGTTGGCTAAACCAACATTATTTGGTGCCAAAACTAAGATGACTTAGATGATATTGTTATATTTGATCCATCAGTGATGGAAAAATACCAGTTTTAACATGCAGATTCACTCCAATATCACATTTAATTCAAACTTTCATAGGCTTTATTGTCATATGCGCACATTTCTTTCCGATTTATTTAGTGTTTTCCCCAAAAGTGAAAATGACTGTTGCTAAATTTGTTTCCACAGTCACAGGATCCCTAAGGAGCAGTGGTGGTTGAAGCTGCGTCCCCTGATGAAGATCCTGGCGAAATACAAGACGAGCTACGACGTGTCGGACTCCGGCCAGCTGGAGCACGTCATACGCAACCGGCCCAAAGAGTCGGACGCCTCGGTAGCCATGTGAAGATACGGTGGCCCCCATAGTGCAGTCAGTCTGAGGCGTGTGTCGTAAAAGAGCTCCAGTAATAACCCAAACCTCCGTCTCTATTCGGCCAGTGTTCATTTCCTGTCTCTGTCATTTCCTCCCAATGTCAGTCATCTCTGTTTCGTCTTGAAATGAACTGTAATCTAGCCTCAGCAGTGCTCCTAATACTAAACACACACACACACACACATGCAGCAGTCCCACCATACATCTCTGTGTCCTCGTTGCCCTGGATGTTTAGTGTCACTCCTGTTAAAAATTGCACTTTCTCCGAGAATAGATCCTGTATCTGAAGTAAGACAGGGTGTGTATCTGCCTATAGAACCAGTGTGAGGTTCAGCATATTTATGTGAGACTGATGCAATACAGTTCTAACGCTGCGAGTCAAAGGAACTGCGTGCTGTGCTTTACACTGAAACTAATATTTATCTTTATAAAATTGTTTATTATTTTGCTTGTAAACATGGCTATATTATTAACTGTAGGCACTGCTGTACTAAGTAGCTGTCTGTCCTATTGCACCAACAAGTTCAATGTGTAAGAGACTAATGTTTCCCACAGAATAAAATCAGACTTGAGAAGTGTACCCTCTGATAAGAGTCACTGGATTTATTTTTTGAACACCTGAACATACGGTTTTCTAGTTTTAGGGTTGGGTCAGATTATGTAGTCAAAATACATGGCACATTTTGTAATTAGCGATGTAATCCATCGGACCACAAAATAAAACCAAAATGAATACCTTTGGATTATTTAACATTTTTGTTTAAATAACCTTATGTTCATTCTTTAATTCATTTCACGTTCCACACACATTTTATTTCTGAAATATCTGAAAATAATAATACATTTTTCTGTCCCCTTAGTTTTGGTTATTATTATTATAAGTTGACTGCAATTTTGATTACATCTTTAAAATACAATCCTAGACAGCTATACTCTTGTTGGACATTTTTCTAAATGTAATCTGGGCTGATCATATTACTTTTTTTAAGTAATCTGATTACGCTAACCCTATCACGTGGTTTATGTCACATGTGATCATTTACCATTAGTGCTGTGCATCATTTGATACACATTTCCAAATATTCAACCAGTGATATTTGGGTAACTATTTGATCTTATCTAAAATTCGAAAAATCACAATGTCCCCAATACTTTGGCCAACAACATCGTAAACAATCTAACCAGCAGGCTATTGGCCATTGAAGGACCGCTGGGTCTGGGGCCTCACTGGGTCTGGGGCCTCACTGGGTCTGGGGCCTCACTGGGTCTGGGGTCCTGGGTCTGGGGGGCCAGTGGTCCTGGGCCCCTGTTTAAAATGACTGTTTACAGCTCCTTATGGAAAGACAATCAGACACCACAAACACACATTGTTTGTGTTTTTCTTGTTTCTCTTTCAGTCTGGGTTTCTTACTGGTGGAGCAGCAGGGGGCCTTTTGCATGTCTGTGTCCAGGGGCCAATTGTAATCCATCCATATTAAGACAGGATAAAAACACTTTAAGCAGCAAATTAAAACACATCCATTAATATAATTTCAATTAGTATCAAGATATTTATTTATTTATAATTTGCAAAACAAGGTACCCTTGAAGGGACTGAATAACTAGAGAAAAGATGCCAATAGGATTACCCCTATAGACATCAGGGATGAAATGCTGGAAGGAAATACAGTGAAGCATCTTGTGATTAATGCAATGTTTCAATTACTTGGCACCACCTTAACCTTGAGAAAGTTGTCCAATTATTTATATAAAGATCCCTCCCAGACTCCCCTGGTGCTGGTGTCCTCATGTTCTCTAACATCCAGCAGGTGGAGGCAGTGTACCATCACATCTCCAGTGTCGGGTTCATCGGGTGCATTATGACACGGGTTCCCTCCATCAGCTGCTGTCCACTTCTTCTCCTCACAATCCACTGTATGGTGGCTTATTAGTAAAGCAGATTAAGAGTGTGTGGCCTTGTGTGAATGTGCATGTGTCCATCGCCATAATTAGGAATTAATCTTATCATTTGAAAGAAAATGTCTATTTCCCATGGGTGTATTAATTGTGTATACATGTAATTAGGCTGCTTTCTCCTGCCTAAATGGACTTTTTCCCTGTTTTAACTGCGAGTAATTACATGCATATATGGCCGGGTTGAGGCCATCGCTTAGCGACAGCGCGTTGACGGGAAATGTAATTTGAAGAAAAGGCTACCTGAATCACCTTAACTCCCAGCAGAGCATCCTAGAATAATTATCATCCTTAAGTTAAAGCAGTGTGGTTGATTCAGCTGCACACCCACGCCTCCGCACAGAAAGATGCCTGCCATAGCTATAATTTCCTCGGACCCCAATGGGCACATGGTTCATTGTTGAGGCTTTTTCATGTTGCCGGCTACTTCTCTCTGAGCATGAAATTAGTAAAGCCAATAATTTGGGTTGATTTAGGAATGCAAGAGGAGCCTGTGGGGTCATATACCCATAGGTAATCAATACTAATTACCATTTCATTTCTCCCCCCTGCTCCTTTTTCTTCTAGAATCGCATGCGAATCTGATCTCATTGGACTGATTAAAGGTTGCAAATGAAGGGTCCTCACTCCCTGATACTCATCAAAGGCCAACAACACGCTCGGTAACTTTGTCTTCATTTAATTCTACATTGTCTTCAGACAAGGCCCCAATTACAAGCTTGCAGTGAATCTCCAAAATAGCCTGCGCACATTGACCTTTTTAGATTAAAAGCACATTCTCTTTCTCTCACGGAGTCCCATACAGTCCAATTTCCTTTCTAATGAACCACGGAGGTTTCTCCTGCTGTAATAACTGCCGAAGAGCAAAATAAGATTACTATAAAGGTATTGTGATAACAATGGCAATGTGAGCCAATAAATCCTAGCTGGCTGAGATTGAAGAAAGGCAATATTTTTTTCTCTCAAAATGAATCACATTTATGACATTCTGAATGAATATTTATGAATAAATAAATCCATGCAAAAATAAACGAGCACATAATACATTCCAGGAGAGATGAGAAAGCGGAGAACAGCAGCAAGGTATAGATTTTAGATATGAGTCACTGCAGTCCCCGATGACTGCATCGAAAACATATACTTTGATGGAGCTGGTTCCCAAATAAAACGAGCGAACCACATGACCTGTTTCCAGACATTGGATAAGGGATTTGATCCACCTCGCACACGAGAGTAGCTCTGGCTTAAAACAAGCCCAGTGAGTCGCACTCCAATTTAGACTTCCCACAATCCAGCAGGCGAGTGCAGAAACACTCGTATGAGAATCTCCCTTTGACAATTAAGACACCCATGGAGGCATGGAAAGCTCTCAATTCCATTAGCCTCTGTGCTGTTTCACTCTATCTGTCCACTGAGCCCTAACTTACTTATTAGTACAAGTCTGCCGTATTTTGTTAGGGAAGCGATTAGTGAAATCTACATGAAAAGGCAATTTCCCTCTTCTTTTCTTTCCCTTCACTCTCACACTTCATTGGGATCAGACAGATGTAAAGAATGACATTGGGGCACTAATGAAGCTCGCTCTGCATCATTTCGGATGTTATTCTATGGACGGAAGTGTCTTTATTTACTCGTTTCTGCGTAATGGAACATTCAGGAGTTGGTCAAAAAGACATTGGGGCTTTTTTAACCAGAAGCTTGCAGCATCGGCTGGCAGTCAGCTCAGAGACTGCAGCTCCACTTTGATGTATTGGAGTTAATATCTTCCTGACATTTCTCAGGACAGATTTTCATCACTGGATTCATCTGTACTTTTGAGGCTATGTGATAAATGAATCAGGACATTCATTTTCCTTCCCTCGTCTCCGGCTTGTGCCCAGAGAAGATGTGTGCATGAGTAAATATGGATCTACTGTTGGCTGTGAATCTTTTTAGGGGTGTGTGTGTGTGTGTGTTCCTTTGTGTGTTTCCATATTCAGCCCCAGTGTGCCTGAGCAAGCGGGAGTCTGAAGCGAGTGTACTTGTGACACGAAATAGACGGCGGCATTAATGGAACTGACATTAATTTGACAGAGCGCTCACTAACATGCGAAGTCACTCGCAGTTCATAATAATAATATTAACTCGGCATTAACATGCAAGGCTGTCTGTTGCACCAGATGCCGAGTGTTTGTGAGAGCGGGTGCTGCAGCCTGTCTTTCTGGGCCACGAGTGTGGCTCGTGGCTCGAATATGCACAACAAGAAAAGCCTCATTCTTGCTGTCTGAGCATCACGGTGGGACTGAAACTCCTGCAGGGAGACACCGCAGCATTCTCAGAATAGCTAAAGGCAAGCGGTGTAAAGGTGATAGTTTAGAGAGGAGGTTTAGACATAAAACCTGTGACTGCACAGCATATATAGCTTTTTCAACTTGATGAACTGCTTGCTTGCCCTTGAGCTGAGCAGCACACACACACACACACACAAATATATAACAGGTGTAGCCAATGGAAAAGCTGAAGGCTATTTAGTCCCAACCATTAACACTAATCAAAAACCACTTTACCTGATAACAACTGCAGTGGCCATCCACCAACTACAGTCACCCGCATCCCTCTTAGCTAATATTGACCGGGCTTAAACAAGATGCCACCAGTAGGGACCATGAAGGTGATGAAGAGATTCGGGTGAGAGCGCTAATTCGTAGCAAAGCGGAAGAGGGACAGCTCAATTGCTGACCTGGATGATTACTCTGTGACAGATTGCTAAAGATTGTGTCCCAAACGGGTAAGAGCGCAATTACAACACATATATAAAACATGCCCTCACACAAAAACATTGACGCAAGACACAGTGAGGCCAAATAAGTAGTGCCAGAACAGAAAATAACATACAAAGTTAACACACACACACACACACACACACACACACACACACACACACACACACACACACACACACACACACACACACACACACACACACACACACACACACACACACAGAGGCCTATACAGTATGGATTGGGCATTGACCAAAGCTCATGAAAGATGCAGTTATGCAGATGGAGTCAGCATGAGTGAACGCAGGCCATAGGGGGCTGGTGTGGGGCAGCACAAAGCTTGCCCCCCCCCCCAGCTCAACGGTCAGCTCTTCCAGGCGACAGGAACCTTCTGGTGTCGCATTTAATCACAAAAATACAATAGTGCTTAGTGTACAGTTCATAAGCAAGGATTTTGAAAATAAATATTCCAAAATCAACTTAAGGAAGAAGATGGCGACAATACTGATATAAACAAACGCTTACTTTGATTAACCTCCAAGTAAAAAGTAGGAATTAGGGTTGGAAGTTAAGTTCTTAAAGCGGCTATATTCAATATCTTCCTATTAACAACAGAGGATATGACTCTGGTAGTGATACACCCACAGATAATTGCCACTTGACTCTGCAGTTTCCCTCTGCTTTGCAGAGCTTTATAGCACCTTTAAGCTAACTCACTTTTCACTTTTCAGCTCGCAGCCGGTCTCTGTTCCCAACAAAATATCTTTTAAAAATTACACTTGGTAGCCTACATACCAAGCATCAAACAGCAGATAGCAACTAGCTAGTGAGCATTGTGGAACATTTTGCTTTTAATAAGACACATATTTACCG